ACACATCACTTCAAACCCAACCTATACCCAACTTATATTTTATAAAAAGTAAAAAAATACACTTATTTAGATTATCCCAAATCACCCCTACTTAGTTCTTATTTGGAGACTAAGGTCTATTTTGGAAAGTAGATTAAAAGTCATTTATTAGATTTTAATTTATTTTTTTTCACAAAAAAATCAAAAAAATTAAAAATAACTTTTAACCATCTTTTCAAAACATCTCTAAGTGTTCGTTTGGCATGTGTTAAAATAACACATATTATTTTAGCATATTATTCTACTTTGGTCACATCATCTCTCAGTCACATCACTTCAAATGCCACTCATATTTTTTATTTTTTTGTAAAAAGTCAAAAAATATAGTAATTTAACACTTCTCAAACAACCCCTAATTATTTTAGTTAAAAAGTTACTATAAGTTGTCACATTATTTTTTATATTTTTTATACATTTTTTTGTAAAAAATTATTAAAATAACTTAAAGGTTGTTTTGAATGATCTAAATAAGTGTACTTTTTGACTTTTTATGAAATATGGATTGGTTTGGGTTGGGTTGGAAGTGATGTGTTAGAGAGGTGATGTGACTTAAATAAGATGATATGACTTAAACAGGATAATGACTTTTTAAATTTTTTCAAACATGCCAAACTAAACCTTTTTGACTTTAAATTTTTTATAAAATATTTTAAAATTTAAAAAATTAAAATCGTAATATTTAAAAATTAAAAATTTTAAAAATATTCAAAAAATTAAAAAATTAAAAAAATTGTAACATATTTAAATATTAAAATATTTAAAATCTTAACAAAATTAAAATATTTAAATATTTAAGATATTGATTTGAATTGAGTTTTGAAAAGGGTTTTGAATTATGTGTTTGGTTATGAGTTTTGAAAAGTAATGATTATGTTTTAAATTGAGTTTTGAGAAATGGTTGTAGAATTATGATTTGAAAGCTCAAAACAAACACCACACTCAAATCAATAGGTGGAACTATAATTTGAGAGGCTTACCAAACGGAGCCTTTATTTTCACCTGGATATGTTTTTCATACTTTCTTTTGATTTGGTTATCAATTCAACTTTCATAGTAATTTCTATTTCAAGTTTGGTTCAACTCTGATTGTTTAAATATAATATCATCATACAAAAAAAAATAAAAATTGAACAAATTGAATATGTTCAAAATATATATGTTGAACAAAATAAATACGTTTATACTTTATATACTGAACAACTTCAATTCGTTCAAACTTATTATAGTGAACATATATTAAATTTTATATGTTTTTTACTTTTTGTAAATGCTGAATATATCTACTTTTTTTTTTTAAAAAAAAAGAAAAGCAAATATACCAAAAATAATTTAAATTATTGAATTGAATTAAATTTGAGAAATGAAAATTTTAAGGAATTAAGGTGTTTAATTTTTTTATATATGAACATTTATAATTTGGTCAGACTTAATAATTTCAACAAAATTTCTCTACTTGAATAAAAATAATCGAACATTGCGTAAAAGTTCAATTCTAATTATTCGAACACGCGACGAACAAAGTCATTTTCCCAATGATTATACGAACGAGATAAACAAAAAATTCAACCCTTTAATTATTGCATTGTTCCAAATCAATAATCTCAATATCATTCATGATGTGAAGATCTTCAAAAATCAATTGATTATAGTGTTCTTAAATTCTAAATTTTCAAAATCAATTTATTTTAGATATTTATATATGATGATAATGTGTGAAAAGTATTTTGTATTTTTATATATGAAATCTTTGAAAAAGTAAATTACACTCCTATATTGTCCTTAATGTTTTTTTTCATTTAAAGATATTACTTGAATATAAATGTAATCAATTAATAATGTATACTGATAAAATCAATAAAAAAAAAATACCTAAATAATAAAAAAAATCATACCTAACCACCCTTTTAACGGGGTAGGTTTTCCATCGCAGGTACGTTGAGGGTCTAGCTTCCCTGCTGCTGAGAAATTCGAGAAACTCGTTTGAAAATTTTAAGTTTTAATTAAAAAATTATTATATATTATTATATCACTCTCCCTATTTTTATGAATATATATTCATAAAAAATCAAAAAATTATTAATATTATACGTCTTCATATTAATATAATACGTTTTCAAATGAAATCTCATGAAACTAAAAATTATTTAGAACATTGTTAGTTTAATTTTCAATTTTTTTTAAAGTTAAAAATTATTCAATAAAAGAAATCATATTTTAAAAAAACTTATCATTGACATATAATTTTATTTTTTAAGAGGTTAAAAATAAATTTTTTAATTGAAAGTATTTTTTTGTTATTTATAATTATCAAATTAATTTTTATTTTTTAAAAAACAGACCAAACATAACTTTAGTGTTATGAGAAAAATCATGCCGCTATATGTTCAATCAATAAAATTGTCATTTTTTAGTATTATTATTTTTTTAGACTATGTGGGTATTTAGGAAGTTTTTATTTTAATAGACTATTTTAGTAGGTTAAAATTTTTATGTTTGGGAAGATGATTAGATTTTTTTGTAATTGGATGTGATGTTTATAAGAGAAAAAGTAAAATAATTATGAGTTTGATGTGACATTTTGTCTTATTGACTATTTTAGCTTATTTTGTCTTTTAGGCCTCGTTTGGGAACCCTTAGCCAAAAAGCCAACAATCCATACAAAAAAGTCAAAGATTCTTTTTTCTCTCTACTTTTTACACATCTTTTCGTAAAAAGTCAAAAAATCATCCCAAACATACTAATTTTTTTAGCTCATATTTTAACCAAATAACCAAAAAATTACTAAATTAACATATTCCCAAACGAGACCTTAATGCTATTTTAGCCCAAAAAAAATATTAAAAAGTCTTCTTCCCCAAAAACTCTTTATTATTGATTGGATATATTGTCATCTTAAAATTCTTCAAAGACCAAGTAATTGCTCGATGGAAAACATTCGTGGTTTATTCTTCAGTTATTTTTGATGTATATTCATATAAAAATTTGATTGATTTGATAATTATAATTTATTTAATTTATCACATTTTATTTTAGAAAATACATAGGACCCCCAGTGGGGGTGTTAGGGTCCTTTTGATTGGTCCAAAAAAATAATTTTTTTTTCTTCCATTGCCAGCCCCCATGTGTAGGTGGGGGTGCTGGGAGTCTGCCCAGTTGGGGGTCTTCAGTAAGACCCATTTACTTTTATGAATGATACATACAAGGTTTTCATAATGAATGATTAAAATTTTTAAAATAAGATCTATAGTGAGCTTGTGGGATGAGATGGTGGTAGAGATGATATTAACGGGTAATAGTGTGGTGTTATTGGTAATATTTTGATTTTCAAAATAATTTTTTAACTTGCAAGAGTGAAACATTTGTCATTAACTTTAATTTTTTTCCCCTTACTAAACATCAAAATTATTTAAATAATGATAATAATTTTCACCTTCGACTACAAACTCGATTTCAGCTTAATTGATTAACATATACATAAATGTATAATTATATAATAAACTAAGGGAGGTGTAGGATGATGTAAATAAATATATTTTTTGATTTTTACGAAAAAACATAAAATATGGATTAGATTTAAAGTGATGTAGTATAAAAATAATATGATTTAAATAGGATAATGTAACTTAAATAAGATAATGACTTTTTAACTTTTTTAAATTATGCCAAACTAGCCCTAAATTACATGAACTTGATTAAATTCATTTTAGATTGGTTTCAAATTAGCAACTAAATTGAATATAATTTTAAAATATTTTAAAATTGGGACTGTATTGTCTTCCGTCTATTATCAAACTGGACCATGCAGCCCGCCCCAGTAGGCTCACTATTGGATCCCATGTCGATGATTTGAATCTTTTACATTTTAAGATTGGTTAAGTACATTATATCTGTAAAAATTAAATTAAGTCGGATAACAAAAATCACATGTTCAGATTAGTTTTGAATAAACAATTTATTTTTTGTTCGTTCAAAACTGATTGAAATATGTGATTTCCGTTATCAATCGACTTAATTTTTTGTAAGAATGATGTATTCGACGAATCTTAAAATATAAACATTTTAAATTTTCAAGACGAAACCTAAAAGTAAGCCTAATAAGTCTAACAATACCTCTTCAGCCTGATTTGGGATCGGAGATAAACCAAAAACCTTTTAATTTTTAAATCATATAGTTGTTTGTGATGTGCTATATAAGTGTACTTTTTACTTTTTTAGTTAAAAAAGTAGAGAAAAAATATGTACATTTAGGATAACTTTTTGATTTTTACGAAAAGATGTGTAATAAAATATTGTAATAAAATCAAAATGACAATTTTACTCTTTTGACTTTTAACTTTTTGAGTTTTGAGTAGTTGAAGTCAAAGGGTAAAATAATAATAATTTTGCCATAGTGGTTTCTCTCACAAGTTACTCTTGAATAGTATAGACTTTTTAACTTTTTTAATAACTTTTTGACTTTTTAACTTTTTTAATTTATCGCGAACAAGGCTTATGTTTGGGAAGTAAGTTTAGATTAAAATAGTCATATAAGATAAAATTGGTTATTTTAGTAAAATACGACAAAATATCACATCTAACTCGTAATTATTTTATTTTTTCTCTTACAAAAGTTAAAAAAACCTATTTCAAAAGAGGCTTTTAAACCTTAGACAAAATAACTAAAAAATTAAAAAGCTAAAAAGCCAACTCATATTCCAAACAAAGCCTTAACATGTGTTTAGTTGAAGATTTGAAAAAAAATTTTAAAAAACAAAAGAAAAAAATAGATAAAATATACTTATATTTCATATAATTCACATATATATATTTTTTCCTTTAAATTCGTCCTTAAATTTTCAACCAAACACATCATAGATGTGATTTTTCCCAATCAAAGAAGTGGTACTTTCGTAATTAAAACCTAATTAAGGCGTCATTTAGGACTCAAGCATCTAGCCTTTATGAGCGGAGGGTCTCAAATCAAATTCCTGAAGATTCACTGGCCAGGTGACATATTCGCCGTCAAATTTAACGGCGCAGCGACGTGAAAACCGCAGAGAGTCACTCAACACTTGTTTGGCGTCGAACCTAACGGCAATTATTATTCGCATTTTTGTCTAGCCAATTTAATAATTGTCCTGGTTGCTCTCTCTCTCTCTCTCTCTCCCCGTCTCTCTCCAATCACCTTTTTCATTACCTCGCCGGAATCTCTCGCCGGAGTAGGCTCAGAACTCGAAGTTTTGGTGGTGGGTTGTTGCGAAAATCAAGATCTGATATTCGCAGTGTTATTGCTTGCGAGAGGTAATAATAAAGTAGTGGTAGTCGTAGTCCAGCTTTTATCTCCTATATTGTGGTGCTGCTACAAAACTGTTCTTGATCTTTGTCTGAGGATTTTAGAAGATCTGGTTCGTGGGTTGTTGTTTTTATTGATGATTACACATTTTTTGATGTGGGTTTCAAGTTTGCACTGTTACAACTTGAGAATTCGACTCTTTTATTTATTCTCACGGTATGTTATAGGTATATGTATGTGTACGAATGGATATGGAAACATTTTTTCTACTTACTTGCACAAATCTTCTCACACAAAGGTAGAACTCGTATGAGTATTATGTCTGATGATTCTGTAATCGGTTTCTGTGTTTAGTGTTTCGGCTAAATCGTAGCTCGAAGGACGGGTCCACGGAGGTGGGTTATGAATGTTCTTGAGCTTCATCAGGTGGATCTATTAGTGGGTGTTTGAGATTTGATATGATGTTTTTGTTGAGTTGAGTTGGCGGGGATTTAACGGCGTTAACTTTGGAATTAGGGTTTCTTTGGGTGTGTGTAGAGTGACGAGTTTGGTTTGTTTCTTTACGTTTGGTTTTCGTCTGAATTTTTTATTTTATTTTTTTTCTTGTTTCGCTTTTTGGTGAAAGATTTTGTTTGTTTTCACTGTTGTGGAAAGCGTATTTTGGTGAATGATTTGTGTGTATGTCCATATTGCTTGACTGAGAAGACTCTATATAGAGAGGTTTAAGACAAAAGAAAGGAAAAGAAAATGGTCACTTGTTGAAGCAAATTCAGAGAAGACATGGCTCCTTCTTCTTTTCTCTCTCTCTCTCTCTCGGGAGGCCCATCTCTTTTTGTCAATGAACTGTTGAGTTGACACAGTTGAATTCTTGTTCACTTCACTGATTTATCTTGGTTTTACTGTTATCCTATGTTTCTCTCTCTCTCTCTCTCTCTCTCTCTCTCACTATTTGTGTAAATGTCTGTGAAAGATTATCTTGCTTTGCAATTTTTGTATTTTTGACTAGTAACACAACTGAAGTAGAATGGACATACCACAGCTATATATTAACTATTTTATGTATTTACAAAATTGATATGTTGACATTAATAACTTTGATGGGATTGCAGGAATGCCTTTTAAGAGCTTGATTAGCTTCATGGACTACTCATATGGGTTTTTTGATCTAGTCCTTCCTGTTAGAAGATGATTCTTGATTTGGTTAATGATTCATAAAATTCCAGAGTTCATTTTGTGAAAAACATACATGAGAAAATATATTGATCATAGTTTATTGGAGAGGAGAATTTTTTGATGGAGTTGGGCAACTTTCGGCCTGAAGCGCATGTGGCACAGCAAAGCAGGCGCGATAAGTTGAGAGTTCAGCAAAGTTCACAGGCTCAGCATTTAGAGGACTATCCTAACAATTTGGAACAATTATCTGTTCATCATGGACTAAACCCAGATCTAATTCAAGTTTCCAATCTTAGGTACGGTAACATATCTTATAACCCGGTTATGTTTTCCCCAGAAATGCTCAATTTTGCTGTGAATTCCCAAGAACAACCTGCAAATAGGCCCGTGAAAGTGAGTGATGAACCACAGAATTGTGGCAATTGGAAAAGTATCAGTTCACAACAACAAAGTTGTGATTGGATTGCTAATTATTCAAGTGGATTAACAGGCAGCGAAAGCAATCAGAACAACATTTCTTCTTCTCCCTATTTGAAGCCTAGCTTCAATGGGTATCAAGGCGTGCAGCCATCTTTAACCAATCCAACTGGTGAAGTTTGCAGTCAAAATAGCCAAAAGCGCTACGGCGAAATGCATTTTAATTCTCCCCCAATTTATCAAAATGCTCCACTCACGGTGGACAATGGTGCCCGAGGTTCTTGGACTGATGGTGGGAATGAACTCGTTCTTCTCCCGACTTATGGCAACGAATCCAATCCAGTACGACTTAATGATTCTTCTGCCTGGATTGGTAGGCTGGATGAGGAGGGTTGTCATCAGTGGAGCGGTGAATTGAGTTTTCTAGCAAATAATAGTAGTAGAGACTTGAGGACTGTTGCAACAAGTGATTCCAATACACAGGGCCTATCTCTATCTCTTTCAACCAAAACACTACCCAATCAGTTTGGGGAAGAATTGCACTCTGGAACTGGTGTTTTCAACGATCATCACGATTCAAAAACCTTGGAGTCTGACTATTTATGTCCTAATTCAAAACCATCTATTGGTAGTAAAGTTTTGGGAAATGATTGTCAAGGGATGGTAGGATCATCATCTACCTTCACTCACCGAAATACCGGTCCTCTGGGTCCTTTCACTGGTTATGCAACTATTCTGAAGGGTTCAAAATTTTTGAAGCCTGCCCAGCTGCTTCTGGATGAAATTTGTAGTACTGTAATGGCTTCAAAATCCATCGAAATGTGTGAGGTGTCCGATGATATGGTTTCTGATGGAGTTAAGGGTTCCAGTGAGGCTGTCAATGCGTCTGAATCTATGGTTGGAGCTAAGGGTGGTGGTGACTCGGGTGTCTCATCCACAACATTTTACTATTCAAATGAAATTAGTGGGGACACTGGTGTTCGGAGTAGCTCCGGTGAATATCGGCCTGAATATCAACAGAAGAAGGCAAAGCTATTATTTATGCAGGAGGAGGTTGGTCACACTATCTTCTCTTAGTAGTTATTGTTTTGACTAAGTGATTTACCAAATCAGAATTATTTTAAACATTAACTCCCAAATGCCGGCTTGTTTTGGACTTATTTCTTAAATTTAGGTTGTTTACTGAAGCTTTTAATTTAAATTTTTTTTTTCCCTTACATGAAAGTTATTTGAAGTTTTGTTTAGAAATATGACTTGAGTAAAAAAATAAGGGTTTCTGAAATATGTTTTAATATCAAGTGAGTTGGGTAAAACAAAAAACTCCTATATATTACTACTTGTGCTTGAATGATCTAGAAGTGATTGACATATTTGTAAAATTATGATTGTGGCATCGCAGTTTTTGGGTGCATTATAATCCTATAGCAAATATTGGAAAAAATTGAAGTACATTTGGAAATAGTAAATTCTTTTTTTTTTTTTTTTTTTTCCCACATTACATCTAATAGCAAACTGCATTTGACCTTGATGCCTATTTTTTCTCTCAAAACATAGAATGCGCCCTTTGGATCAAACTATACTCAATCTAATTCTTGCCAGAATTTTGGGCTGTAGGGAACCCTACTTTTGTTTTTAAAAAATCACTTTTATTGTGGCTAATGCTAGTGTTTCAAATACTATTCCATTGCTCATAGAGTGAGCCACCACCATTCCTTCCTTTTAACCAAGTGTTTCATTGTCTAAGTACAACAATAGGGTTACTTTCATTAGTAAATTAGTACAAAAGAAATGACTGGGTATTAGATGGAATGGGTAAAAAGAAAAAGCATTACCATACAAGCAAACTTGAAAACCTTATGTTTACAATGCATAGCCATCATTTTGCCTTAATCTTCAAGGAAAATGACCACCATTTCTGTATAATCTCACAAGTGCTCTTTCCACCTTAATGATTATACATTTCTGGTACAATATCTTTAAGCGAAGCATTTTCAAATAGACCCATCAAAGTGACCGTGAGTGATAAGATGAGGTTGAATGCAGCCAAATGAATTAGGACTTGTCAGATGTTTGTTACTTGTCATGAAGATATGCAAGGAATGCAAAAATTATGATTAAAGTTCTATAATGACACACTCCACTAAATTTCTCATGAGTGTAATTTTTATTTTTATTTTTATGCTTTTAATGGCTAATTGGGATGTTGTGGCACAAGTTGTGATGATCAATGCTAATATCTAGAGTACATTGGGCATTACGCATAATTGAAGTCCATTTGGGGGGTGATGTAGATTTTTTGATAGCTGAGTGCTGTTAAAAAGACAAATGAGTTGGAAGACAAGAATTGATTTAATTAAAAATTAATTAGACTCTGTGAGAAGCTGGAGCTAGCATCATTTGGGAGAATGAGGGAGTGAATTGGTTAATATTGTTAGCACTAGGGTAGTGTATGTTCCTGTAAATTTTGCCAATGAGTGACAATGTCCATATTGAAGGCGCTGCAAGAAAGATGACCAAAGCAAATATGAAGTAACATTCAGTGAAGAGGAATGTAGTTGAATAAATCACACGTATTTCCCAGATTGAGTGGAATCATGTTGCAGGATTCTAGCTGGGTGTGTTGAGTCCTTCATAGGGGTTAAATTCACCCAACCTCCATATTTTACAATCCTAAAATTTACGGGAAGGATCCTTTTTGTCGGTTTTTATGAAGGGAGCAATATAAAGTACATACCCATGTTATAGGGTATCGGAATTCGAAACATTTCTGACATAGGATAAAAATTCGAAGGAAAAATAGGAGTTTGTGGATAGGAAAATTGCAATGAACTGACAAGCTAACTATTTTATTTTATTGTATTATATTGCAAAATTTATGCAAAATTTTTAGTTCTGCTTCCCCAAATTTCATTGAAAAGGAAGAGATTTATTCATTGGGTAATACTTGGTTATGAGTCCTGGTGGATTAATGGTCATTGGCTATAAAAGTTACACTGTCTATCTGCAATGCACCTCACTGACTTTTCTTGGTTTTCAACTGGCTAGGCAAAATGATTAGATAAACAGTCTAGTAGTTTCTATTATGATCAATTTTACATTAGAATTCTAGAAAATGGATGTGGGAAATGATTCATAGTTCATAATTGTTATTCTCAAAACCAAGATTTTATTGAAATTTCCTGGTTAGGCCAAGCAAAATGATTAGATAAACAGTCTATTAATTTCTATTATGATCAATTTTAAATTAGAATTCTAAAAAATGGATGTGGGAAATGATTCAGAGTTCATAATTGTTCTTCTCAAAACCAAGATTTTATTGAAATTTCCTGGTTAGGTTTGCTAACTACTGTTATCATCTCCTTGAAAAACTTGGGGTGAAAAACTTGGGGAGCGTAGGGAAGTTTACTGGTTCATTTTAGTGGGCAAGGCTCCCAAACAACCTGTGGTATAATTCTGAATGCTTCTCTTTATTTGAAATATTGTAGTGTATGCAAAACGTGTTTTTTTGAGTCAAAGTTCATGATCGGTGCCTTGATAGACAGTCCTTGCCATACAAGTTTGCCTACCGTTAACTATTGCATGGCAACTTCATACTTTCATACATTTGCATCTTTTGCTTGCTTGTATAATTGCAAAAAAAAATATAGGGCAAATTACAAGCACCCCCTTCGAGATTTAGTGAAAATACAGATTTCCTCTGAGGTTTGAAAAATTACAAATTGTCCCCTGAGGGCCAAATTTTCATAACAAATTAGGAGAAATTAGGAGAGAACCTGTATGAAAATAAAAATCTCAGGGGGTAATTTGTTATGGGAATATAAATCTCAGGGGGCGGGATGTAATTTCTCAAATCTCAAGGGGGAATCTGTATTTTCACCAAATCTCGAGGGGGGTGTTTGTAATTTGTCCAAAAATATAAAAATAAAAAAAATCTAAAAAAGGAAAGTGTAAATAAAGTGATGGTACCTGTTCTTTTTCATTCCTTAGTGGATCCTAAGTTTCATGCTTGACAATGTTTCCAATTGCTGTTGTAATTTAATCAATTTCTGTAGCTTTTTGAAATTCTCTAGTAGTTCTGGGTCATATTAGAGATTTCAACATGGTTTCGTAATTGTCACCATGATGGAGAATCAAATGACAGCTTGAATTTTTTTTCCTTCTTAAATTTGACTAAACATTTATTTTCACATCTCCATTATCATTTCTGAAGGTGCTTTTACATTTTTTCATTATTTTAGTTTAATTTTCTTGTGTATTTGTTTCATCACAAAGTTCTTCTAGGTTCCAAATTTTCTTGGGTTTTATTCAATGAAGTTCCTTCCATGCAACTCTTACACCATCTAAGTAAATTTAAGTTTTATATTTAATATCGTCTCTATCGCTATTCGATTGAGATTTTGATGATGTGAAAAATATTGCACGTTCTCTTCTTCAATCCTTAACAGAGGCTAGCTAGCAACTATAATTTCCAGAGAATTTTGAAGAAATTCTAATAATTCTTTTGCTTTTGTCATTGCTAATGATTTGCATGTTGATCTCAGTGGGGTCAAAAAGTATATTACTAGTGTTAAGTCCATAATGAATTGGTTAGTTTTAGATTTGAAATAAAGTAATATGTATAGCTGTGAAGTTTGGAGTGTTTTTTCAAGAATTGACAAAAGTGGAACTGTAGACTACTCACTTTTTCGTCATTTAGGCACGTCAGTGTGATTGAATTTATCACATGCTATACCCTCACCCTCATGCCTAACAATTATTAATGGATAAATAACAAGAAGCTTATCTCATATCTAAGGAACACAATGACAATCTGATTTTCAATCGAATAGTGCACACCACTTATTTTCAATTGCTTTATTAAAGCAAAATCCAAATCCCAAGAAGTTGTCACTCTGCCATTGCTGAAGGCTCATTTTGTAGGGTGAGAAAGAATCGTCTATGTAATTCCAGGGCTGCCGACATCGCTATTGAAATTCTTAACTTACCCTTTCTACTGTTGTTTTCACTAATTTAGTGTATGCTAAGTGCCTTTTGAGTGATTAAGGTACAGAGCAGTTCTGCTTTCAGTCATCACAATGGTGTGACCAAATTGTTTTGTACTTTGAAATGAAAATAGTTATTCTTTTCGTAAGAACATAATTATAGCCTCTTGACACAACGGTAATATTGAAACAAGACTAGATATTATCCTAGTAGACGAAAGTTCTTGAATCTACAGGAAAAGCGTTGAATGCACAAGGAGTAATACAAAAAATTGAGGATTGTTATCATAAGTGTAATACTTCAATAAAGGTTTACAGTCAGTCATACATAAGAGAATAATCTTAATTCATAATAAGACATGGAAGTCAAATTTGGATACTATGGAGTTATAAACATGCCAAAATAACAGTTTTAAAAGCAGAAACCTTAAATTAAGTTAATAGGTAAAAGAAAACTTTCTAAAAATGACAACAATACAAATTTAGAAGTTTTGGGAGAAGCAAAGCAATGAGTCTTTGCCATTGGGCCATTTCAAATTGAGTATGGGTGGCTTGACCCAAATTTGACTACTTAAACCGGTGACCAGATCCTTCAGTGAGTAGTATGCCATAAAACAAACATGGCAGAAAAATGCCCATAACAGTAAACTTTTTTCTGCCCATAACAGTAAACTTGCACTGCTGCATAAAGAGTTGAAACAATTTATTTGGTTAGCTCACATTTTTTTTAATATTTCTTGAATACTATGGGTTTGTTTGTATGTAACATTTGTGTTTCACTAATTAAATTGATACTCTTTTTTGTGACTTTTGTTGCACTGTGCTGTCAAAAGATTTGCAGAAGGTACAAACAGTATCACCAACAGATGGAAATGGTGGTTTCATCATTTGACACAGTGGCTGGTCTTAGTGTTGCTGCCCCATACATTTCTTTTGTTCTCAAGACAGTGTCAAGGCACTTCCGATGCCTTAAGAATGCCATCTCAGACCAACTCAAGCACATAAGGAAAGCTTTGGGGGAGGACTTTTCGTCTCCCACCATCGGTACTGCAAGCAGTAGCAAAGGCGATACAAGTACATCGAGGTTAACAAATATGGACCATGGTTTTACGAAGCCAAAAACTGGTGGGCCCAATCTGGGCTTCCTTGAAGCCCAACAGCACATCTGGAGGCCCCAAAGAGGCCTACCGGAACGAGCCGTGTCTGTTCTTAGGGCTTGGCTATTTGAACACTTTTTGCATCCGTGAGTCTCTCTCTCTCTTGTACGAGTGCATGCACATGCACAAGTTGGTGCAGCATTGATAATTTGATTTGTAGTTGATTTCTTGTACATATAGGTATCCAACGGACACGGACAAGCATATGTTGGCTAGTCAGACTGGCCTATCTCGAAACCAGGTATGATCAGCACCTTGTTGAGTTTGGGGTTGTTCAATAGCTTGGTGTTTATGTAAACTTGACCTATAAAAACTCTATTCAACCATTTTGCCTTTGTTTTTGGGCCCATATTATCATGTTTTCTTGGAATTTCATGTTGACTATCTGCCAAGCAATAGCATGGAGCTAAATGATTAGTTGGCTCTAAAAACAAGGAAATGTTGGACAAATTATTAAGTAGCATTGGACGGGCATAGATCACGTCGTGTTGCAAACCCATATGATAATTTCAACCTCTCCCAGACTCACATTTTCACATCCAAGGATATGAACCTTAATATGAAGCATGAACATGTATGCATGACACGAATATGATACAATGTGAACACACCGATACAAAAATTTTCAAAAAATTTAGAACATGACATGGTAGAGATGCAACAATAAATAATTTTATTTATTTATTTATAGATACAAATGAAAATAATACATTATAAATAAAATTTGTATTGTATTATGTAAAAATAGAAAGAAAATCATTTTCCACATTCTATGTATTGGAAAATAAGTCTAAACATAAAGTCTTTATTAATTAATTAATTTATTTTAAAGTTATATTCACAAGTGAATTGGAGTTTTAGGCCTTAGATTATTGGTGTCTGAAATTAATCTTTGTCGGGTCATTTATCTAATGCACTATTACAAGTTGAATTTTGGGGGAAAAAAAAATAGAAGATGCAAAACAGTGTGCCAATGTTACATTACTACACTAGTGAAAATATTTGATCGATTAATGCAGGTGTCAAATTGGTTCATTAATGCCCGAGTCCGGGTCTGGAAACCCATGGTTGAAGAAATACACATGCTCGAAACCAAAGGTTTGGCAGAACCAAACTCAAACTTAGGCAAAATCGATGGAGAACCCAACGCTGAAAATGATCATCAGCCCGCAAACAAGGTGAGTGAAACCGCTATGTCGAGCAAGCAAGTTGAGTGCTTGCAAATTGGCTCCTTGGCAGGCACAGGAGATGAACATGGACACAGACAGAACACACAATGGAATCAGGAGAAGCGGTCAGAGGCGGAACAGTGTCAAATCCCAGCTAGCATGATTGTGTTCCGTTTCGGGGTTTTGTGCCATACCAGCGTGGCGGGCTTGAAATAGGGGGACTTGGAGCGGTTTCGCTCACGTTGGGACTCAGGCAAAGTGCAGAGCAATTGGAACAAGAAGAGATTCAGATTAGGCAGCATTTTGGAGGTCAGATGATTCATGATTTTGTTGGTTAATATCAAACAGTTCTTCTAGTTGCACAGAAATTAATCACATAATTGATCACAACTCTCATAAAGGTGCGACTCGCCTCATGTGAGAGGATTGTGTTTGTTCTGTGATTGGTTTGTGTGTTCGTTGAGTTTTTCAATATGGAACTATCTCTTGCATAATCGAACAAGAGAATAAAAAGTGAAAAATGATATACCTCATTAAGCTAAAGAGGTTTATTGAATGAATATGCAATCATTGGATTAGATTGGAGATGGATTATGATAATGTATTATAGTGGTTTATAGATTAAGAGCTGAAATCCATGAAGATGCTCTTTGCAAGAATTTTTATAAGTTGATAAAAATGGAATTCAAGTGAAAAGATGAATCATTTGCATTCATCCATGGATATACCATTGTTTATTAATATTTCTGTAATTGAGAAAAATAGTGAGCCTCCGAGAAATTAAATCAACAATTGTATGGATGTTGAAGAGTTGCCTAAAAGTAATTGTTTGCATCTTTAATTTTACAGGACTCATATATCATCAAATGAATTTTATGGTTTTATTTTATTGAAACTTGGATGATGTTATCATATTTATTATTTACTATGTGGATTCACACAACGAACACTTTTTAGTATAACCAGTGATGTTTCTCTTGTCACCTCTTGATCTTGTAAAAAGTTTTATCTATACTAATAGTATATTAAGTGAAGGCTGGATTTCCAATTGTGAGCGTAATTGTTATATAGAGAAGAATAGAGAAGTGTACCAGACTTGAAACTTGGACCTTGGGTTTAGGGGAAAAATCTACACAGAGGCTATGATATTAATTTTATTTTTATTTTTACTTATTTCAATCGTGTGCCAACTGTTAGTATGGTTTAATGTAAAGATTTTAGAAGTAATAGTAAGAACCCTCCTGTATTATAAGTATTGGCATTTTACTAGTTACCATTGTGTATATATATGTATATATATTTTAAAAATAAAATAAAAATTGTTAGTATTTTAAATTTACATGTGACAGAATTTGTGACTCCTTACCCAATTTGGGTGATAAGAATTTTTTTTTGATTCAAAGGACATATTAAAGCAACAGAAAAGAAACATAAGAGTTCAAGGCATATAGCCTTGACAAACAAAAGATGACGCAATCATATATGCACCAAGCAGGCTTGCAATCTCACTAGGAGGGTCATCAAGGGTTACTAAAGTCCCATTATGATTTACACCCATGTTGGCCAAACCATCTGCACATTTGTTGCCATCTCTAAGATTGTGGCTTATGGTACAGTTGCACCTTTTCATAAGAAATCTTGCATTTTCAAGTAGAGCTAGGGAAGTGGGGAAGAGTTTCGCCTTGCATAAGTTTTACTACTTGCTCCGAATCAGATTTGATGATGATGTCTTTCATTCCTTCTCTAGCATTAAGGTGAGACCTTTGTATAGCCCTCAAAGCACAGCTTCCACACTAGTTGCGTTCTCTAGTTTTCCATGATAGCATTCCACCCAGGAACTTCTCTCGCCTCTGAACAGCCCTCCATAACCAGCTGAACCAGGGTTTCCTTTAGCGCATCCATCTGTATTGAGTTTAATTTTCCCCCTACAAAAGGACGATTCCATTTAGTAGCACAAATTAGAGTTTGACCTGTTAAAAAATCAGATTGAAAAGGGTCAAAAGTTTCTGAAGCTTGATGGTAGATGCTTCTTATGGCTTCCTGTGCATTCCCTTCTTGGCGAAAGATGGTGTTGTTCCCGTCTTTCTAGATTCTCCAAAGAGTGAATACAAAGGTAGTTCCCCAAGGGATGTTTAAAATTTCTTTCTTTTTGCTCTTCAGGTCGACTTGGATCTATTGGTCAATCGGCGTGTTGATATTAGAATCCAACCACCTGTTATCTCTGATGCTCACCCAGATTTCTTTGGCTTTAGGACAGTCCCTAAGGAGATGGCTTAGATCTTCTTTGGCTAGGTTGCACCTGGAGCAGGTATCAATCGTAGTTAGACCTCTAATTCTTCTTTGGTGGTTTGTTAGTAGTCTTCCATGAAGCAATAACCAGCAGAATCCCTTCAGCTCTTGAGGCATTTTGAGGTGTTTGGGTGCTAAGATTACATCAATTAGAAACAGGCTTATTGTAATCCAATTCAAAGCCCAATTAAAACTCATATTGTAGCCAGGCCCAAAATTATGAGGAAAGATGAGTCACTGTAAACCCAAATTTGCTAATGAATGGCTCATATCATAATCCATATTTATTCTACCAACCAGCAATTAATCAGTTTTTTCTGTTTTTGTTATTTGACTCGAGTCATTAGATCCGATAACACAATTTGCAATTTAATTATAACAATGATATTCCCATTTCAATTTAAACTTCTCATAGAAAGAGTGAGAATCTAAAATAAAAAATAAAAATAATCATTTGAATGATGAAAGAGATGTAAACATCTCATAAAAAAAAAAATCAAATATATGCCTGTTATTGCTAAATGATATGCATTAATTGGAAACAAAAATGAGTACGAATAATGATTTTTACTGATTTAGTTTTTGGCGTCACTCTTCACAATTGAAGTGAGTTCTTTCATGTGTGCTTCCATGTATGCATGAATAAAATCGATAATTGTTCAGTAGTCTTCGGCATAATGTGTCATTTGCTTGTGGCAAAAAAAAAAAATTTACATGTGAAACAAGCTAACTCACTTTTTTTTAAGTAATTGAGAGATAAAGAATAATCCATCTAGTTTTAATTACAATTTTTCATTTGTCTGCAGAACTATGTAAATAATGTCACATGATATTCTGCGAGTATAATAGTTTTCTGAATAGATTAGCTTACGTTCATATGTATGTATATATTAACAGTTGTAGGAAGAGAATAAGGAAAGGAAAACCTATATCACACAGTAGATAAACATAAATATCATACCTGGTAAATAAGTACCTCATCCACTGGGTCACCTCTTACTCAGGCTCATATATATTTTTTTGGAACAAATTCTTTGGCTCATATATTGAAACCAAGAATTTATTTAAATACATATGATTGGCACTACAATGCCAAGAACATAGCACACCTAAAAACCTAAGTAGATTACATCATATCCAAAACCCACAGAAAACATAGTAGTATTTAAGATATAAACGCACTCACAAAACACAAAGCCACGAAACTTATTAGTTAGTTGTGACTAGTTAGCCTTTAGACCTTGCCACCACTATCATTGCCACCACCCTGGGGAGTTCCAGTGCCACTGCCACCTCCACCATTGTAGTTATTGAAGTCCTCCCTAGGGATGTAATGGTGGTTGTCCACACTGCTTCCTGGGTATTCAAATTTGCTCTCAAATTCGGCTAGCTCTCGATGATCTTGGTCGTGCATTTCGATCATCGTCAAAGCTTTCCTGTTAACAGCCAAGCTGGAGCTCACCATCATCAGGAGTAGAGCAAGCACAACTAACCTCATTCTTGATCTTTTTGCTTTCCACTGTAATTCAAAGATGAAAGGAAAAAAAAAAAAAAAGGATTTTTGTGAGCAGACTAGGGTAAAAATCGAAAACTGTCTAGTTTAGAGAAGAGCTTGTGAATCAACAATATTGTTTTTGGTAGTAGAAATTCAGAATTGCAATTTATTGACTTACCCAACGGAGAGTCAATGGCAAGATGGGTGAACAATTTGAGTTTGTGGGGGAGAGGAACAAAGGTTTTAAGGTGTTTATATAGACTACCATCTAGGACTTGTGGAAAATGATGTTTCTTTAATAAAGGGATCAACTTTTAATAAAGGGATCAACTAGTATCTAGTTTGGGTATCGATTTGATAGGTTTAATCAGGAGTAATTATTAGGTAGTCTCGGAACACATTGTTCATATGGTGCTTCTATCGAATGACATTGAGAAAACTTTATGGATAGGACGATGTTGACTGACCTTTATAGCGAAAAACTTTATGGTTAGGAAGAAAGGATAACCCACCTAATATGTTTTGGTTTTTTATTTGTTGGGAGTACCACGTAGACAATGTTACATAATACTATGAGATTATCTAATAATTTTTTCCAGTATAATTTGTGAGGTCCACTATGGGTTTCACCCCAATGGTCAAAATTGTTCATCTTATAAGTCTCAATTGGTCATGAAAAAAATAAATTTATTTATCTTCAAAACAAACCTATGATACTTATGATTTTGAAAACAAACCTTTGTTAATTTTTTAATGACAAATATGAAGAAATTGATTTTTTCCACTAGTTGTACTATACTATTGATATAATTCTTCTCATTTTGTAATTAATCTTCTATCAATAAGCTTAAAAAAATATATTTTTAAAAATGGGTGATGGAATTTCCACCAAAAGAGGCAAAACAAAGTGGGATGCCCATATTAGAGCAATAAAATGGTTTTTAAAAACAAATAAAATGATGAAGCAGAAGGAAATTGCTTTTTGTCCACAGATGCACACTATAAATAGGGAATCCACCATATGAATGGATTGGATTATTAGGCTAAACCTATAGTCAATCAATAGGCAGTGGAGTGCCTGTTAGTATTGCCTGGTGATGTCAAAGTATAGTTGGAGGGAGGAGGTGAATTCTCTCTAATGTTTCTTCACAAATCATTAGTCTGTCAAGTGGTGGAATTTTAGTCCAGACATTTGTAAATATATTATAGGAAAAGTAATAGGGTTTTAATGATTACTTGGTGAATCATATGTAATTTGGCATCATCAGCTTGAAACTATTCCACATTTGGAAATTTAAGTTGTCTTTTGCCTATGTTACATCAAACTTGAGTACAAGTGTGAGATGCAGATTTATATCTAAAAATTAGACTCATTCAATTTTAAATTTAAAGATTTGTGAGTTTAGTAAACATTGGCCATATTTTTATATTTTAATTTTTGAGTTATTTGGACAAATAATTCCAAAGTACACGTTTTGTTATATTTTAGTTTCTAATATTTTAATTATTTCACTTTCGTTTTAAAGTATGTGTCTTGTATACTTCAGTTCTTAACATCAACACCGTCAAAATTAGTGTCAAAACAAGAGGGGGAGCATTTGTAGAATTTTATAAATTAAAAAAAAAAAATTGAAATATTGGAGATGAAAATGCATACATTGGAGATTAAAATGAAATGAAATGCATAATTTAGGAACTAAAATACTGCACGTGTATTTGGTTATTTTGAGTTTTTGTAAGATTTTGGTTGGTCAGTAGCGCAATTTGAACCCAAAGATGAAAAGACTATCCAATGATGGGCTCTTAAGATTGGTCGAATCCAACTTGCTAGCCCAATTCTGAGCCCAAGTGTATCTTAAAAATCAAATCCAATACAAAAAATCTATCTTAGTTTCATTTAATTGTCCTAAAATTCAATACAAAAACAAAAATTACCTTGGGTTAGTATTTAAGCATCCTAAATCAATAGATTGCACTTTTTTTAAAAAATAATAATAATAAACATATCTTATAAAATTACAACCATAAATCATAATAAGAGAAAATTAATCTAAATTATGCGTATTAAATGGTAAAATTTGTTACAAGTTAATCGATCAGTGGAAAAATAATTAGAGTTTTAAATGTATATTTCATTTGATATATATAATTTGATATATTAACAATAAAATTCAATTGACTCATATTCTAGAACTTTTACTGAATTTAATTTAAGTGGATAAATGTTAAACCAGACCAAAGTTTTCCAAACTTACATTGACACTATACCAATTGAGGTTGATAAAATTGGTTGGTGGGTTTTGCAATTTCCATTTCCTAGGATACAATGATGAAATGTGTCAAGAATTTGTCATAACAAAGGGTCAAATATTCCCTTTATTGGTGAAAATTGATGGTTGGATCTAGGTTTTGTGACAAGTGGGAAAGTTCTATGCTATTTTCTTTCATCCATCTAGTTTTGTTTTAAAAAACTTAATGTGAAAATCCATACAAAATTGTGGGTCAATGCTAAATACACATGAATTTTATACAGAAAATTTATGTAGTTGATAGGTTAATAGCATTTTTTTGGGGGGGTAAATTACACTCTTGAGATTTGCTTAAGATAAGATTTGCGTTTTGTGATTTTGAAAATTACATCTCGCCCCCCTGAAATTTTTAATTTTATAACAAATGACTCTTTTTATTAATAAATCATTAAATCAATTAATAATTCTTAGGGTATTTTTTTTAAGGTCACTGGTATTAAGATTTTATAGCATAAAGGACACTCAATATTTTCATAATATCTATGGTCCTTTAACATCAATCTAGAGAAAATTCGATCCAAAGAATTTCTTTGGACACATCATAGAGAAAATTCTGAATTTCTCTAGACACATCACAGAGAAAATTTCAAATTTCTTTGGACGTATCACAGAGAAAATTTCAAACAGGGCAGAGAAAATTGAAATTTCATTGGATTCAAACTCTTTTAATATATATTGCAAACAAGTCAGAATCCTCCAAACCTCAAACATTTGTAATATCATGATGAACGTTAAATTTTCTCAAAACCAAACCATTGCACACCATGGTTGGTGAGCATTGAAACCAAGAAATATACACAAACAAACTATAGATTTTCAAACTGGAGAATTTCTCTGGTCCAAACCAGAGAAATTCAATAAAAAATTCAATCCACACCAGAGAAAATTCGACTTCACAGAGAAAATCTTACCAGAATTTTTCTGGACTCACTTCAATCCAGAGAAATTCTCTCAGTCCAAAGAAATTCACTTCAACTCCAGAGAAATTCACAAAAACCCCAGAGAAAATTTCTCGGGATTTTTATAGAACTTTTTAGTTTATAAATTTGTGAGTCATTTGATTAATTGTGAATATTGTAGTGGGTAATTCCAGTCTTATTCAGATTTGATTTTTGGTTTGTTTTAATTTATTAACAGTTGTTGGAATAAATTTATGTAATGATTGGTTTTTTGAAGATGTATTCAGGAATTTCTCTGTATTTCATAAAATAATGTGTCGTTACAATCCAGAGAAAATTAGTTAAAATGAATCCAGAGAAATTTAAATTTTCTCTGGTTTATAAATGAACCTAGAGAAATTTGATTTTGAACCTAGAGAAAATTGGTCAAAATGAACCCGAGAAATTCTTTGGAAGGTCTAGAATTTCTCTAGAGAGAATTTCTCTCAAATTTCCAAAAGCAGTTTTACCTCAAACACAAGAATTCAACAACAAAAACACTAAAATCAAACTTCATTCCCTCACAAATGACTTCAATTTCAGTTTTTTTATTTATTATTATTATCCACAGAAAAGGGGAAAAAAAATTTAAAAACCCAACGGGCATATAAATATATGTACAACAAAAAGCACTGTGACCTATGTTGTGTAGTTATGATCAAAATTGTAATGGCGAAAGTAAGGCAACAAAACCCAAGAACTTAACCAACTTGGAAATTCTACTTGCTTCAAAAACAAATTAATCAGTCAAGAACATTGTAGCAACTCCAAAACAATTTTTTTGATATACTCAAAAGAGTAACAACAAAGTACTCAGCACTTCTGCGACAATGAATCCATGGTTGAACACTTCATTATTGTTGATAATCCGACTTTAAAACCCAAAAAGACCCATTTGAATATTTCTCTAAAGTGGCAATTGCCTTGATAAGATTGCGTCATTGCTCAATGATTCTTCCACGCTTTTAGGGTTATTGATCAATTGGGAATTTACTGTTGAGCCGAACTTCTGGCAAATGAAGAAGGTTGCACCAGCAGCTTCGGATCTCCCAGTCTAGGTTGGGACAGATATGTTTTCCTGGCTTCGAAGCATTCGTGAGTGGTGTAATGCTTCTGCGATGGAAGTGAAGTTTGTTGGAGAGAGAAGAGCAAAGAGAAATGAAGAAAGGGAGAGACTGGTTTGATTTGAAAGAATCAATTTTCACTATGATATATGGGTGTTGGGGTTGAGGGACCTTAGACATCATAAAATAATATTGTGGACCTCTTCCATTACGAAAAATGGGATAGAGACCTTAGACTAATTTTTCCTAATTTTTAATGATGTCATAAATTTATTTCAATTAATTATTTAGGTAAGTTAAGAATTTCATTTTTTTAATTAATTTTATTAAATAAAAAAGTTTCTAATTTCATAACAAATGGTCCCTCTTATTAATAAATCATTAAGTCAATTAATATTTTTTTTTTTTTTTTGATCAGCAAAACAAAACTTTATTGATGAAAGAGGCATAATACATGCAAAATTACATCAACAAAGTAGGGGAGTGCAGAAAGTATCATAACTAAACTTAACAATCCCATCTAGGTAGGCACCACAAAGAAAGCGCAATCATATGCTAAGCACTTGCCCCAGGATTGGTGAGGAACCAATCCAAAACACCTAAAGAGAAGAACAACCAAAGGCTAATAATCAAAAGAAATACACCCAAAGAGGAGAACAACCAAAGGCTAATACAGAAGATTCACCCTATTGTTGGACTAATGAACCAAAGAGCTCATATGGATAGGTAGAGAACTAGCAACAGAGCATTCAGCCTCCATTACTAGCAGACAACATACAGTAGCAAAGGCAAAAGCATACTCTAGCAGACAGCATGCAACAGACAATAGCAGAAGCATACTCCAGCCGCCAGCAACAGAAGCATAAGGATAGGCAGGGTACTTGCTCTAAATCATTCAACCTCCATTTCTAGTATAGGGCTTCACCAACAGACAGCAGTAGAAGCACACTCCAACAACATACACACTAGCAGATGTAGCAGAAGCATATTCCAGCAGCATACACACTAGCAGATGCATATA